ATTTTTTGAACTGTAGAGCTATATTTTTACCAGTGTAGTGGAATTTTAATCTTGATAGTGAACAAATAGTACTAGTTCTACCCATAAAAATTGACAGTTGAACAAACAGAACAAGTTTTACATATCAAAAAAAGTTTTTTTTTCCACTCTAATCTTTTCCTCTGGTAGTCTGTTACCATGTATATATATCCAGTTAAACACATGCTTGTAGCTCATATAGATTTAAGAGTTCCTTGGAAGTACAGGTATGTTCAAGTTCACTTTTGTGTATTTAATGCCTAGTGGCTTAGCTTAATGCAAAACTGAATTCCTGATTATCAGTTATTTAATCAAGAAACTTGATAATCAGTCTGGAGTTGTCCTAGCTAATCACCTATTTTCAGTTTGTCATTAAGCCCTATGCATTATGCTGTGTCTAAATATTTGTCATTTTTTGACAGTTTTAATGATGTTCTTACTCAGACTTTTATTATGTGTCTTGGGCTGTTAACATAGTGTTGTACTTTACTGGTCTCTGTGGTTCTACTTCATAGGTATGCTGAAAAAACCAGCTTTCTGTGAAAATAGGAAAAGCACTGGTTTGTAGTGTTTGCCTATTTCCATGCCATAAATACTCTCACTATGGGTAAATACCCAGTGTGGTTGGTTTTAAGATACTTTAAATGATGTCATCTAGCACACAGAATTGTTGAAAATCTAACAGTTGACTACCAAAAAGCCAACAGGAGCCAATTCCAGCACACTGCTGTAACTAATCCCTTTACAGTAAGGCTTCACACCACTGCCAAAATTATTATTCTGAAATACAAAGCTGATAATGCTTTTTCATGGCTTTAAAACCTTAAAGGGCTTTACAATGAATATTTTGGATGTCTACAGGCTTCTTTGCAAAATGCTCACCAACCTTCCTAAGGTTGAAGTCCTAGGGTGCTTTGCAGTCCCCAGTTTGAATCTTTGTTGGAAAGCTGAAGAGTCTGACTTGCAAGCTTGAAGGAACTGGGGGATAACTCCTGAATACAGTGTGGAAGACCAGAGCTCCTCTGAAGAAAAAGGGCAAACTTCTTTCATCTTTCCATTTTATTGCATTGAGGCTATAAGCCTATTGGCTGATGCTACCCATATCCAGGATTGGGTCTTCCCTCCTCATTTTGTGGCCTACATGTCAATTATCCACAGACAAACACAGAAGTTTAGTAGTCTGCTAGGTGCGGTTCTTCAAGTCAAGTTAACATCAGATTTAATGATCACGGCATTGCTGCTGTTAACCTTCCTTGTTCTTGGAATGGCCTTTTCCAGTTTGTCTAGCAGGATTCTTAATTCTGAGAACCAATTGGCAGATTGCAAGGAAATGTTGTTCACAGAATTAAGGCCAAAGTGGTAATACCTTCCTTTTATTAAAGAATGAATTTGTCTTTAGCAGAGTGATACTTTCAGCTGATATATACATTAATTCAACAAATATTGAATACCTACCTTGTGTATTTAAGCCCTGAGGATATGGCAGTAAACAAAGAACTTACCCTCTAACATACACTATAGTGAATACAGATAATGGAAGTATTCTTATAAATCCTCTATTTTGCTTGTTGCATAATCTATGATAGGTTGCCTTATCTGTATCTAACATCTGATTAGGTGGTTATGGTGCATGCTGTACCTACCTTGAGCTCAGTTCTGCATATTTGTTTTCAGCTTTTAGTTTTCTGACCTTTTTTTACCCAGAAATTTGTAGATTCCTTATACAAAGGTATCTTTTTAACATCCAGTGTCATTGTACTTATATTAGCCAAAAATCCCAAATTTCAGTAACATTTTAAAATTTGCCTTTTCTTTTATAGGTATTTTTATTTTATATGTTTGCAATGTACATTTGTTTGGGGGAATTAGTGTATAAATATAGCTGGATTTATTTTTGATCCCTCCCACATTCTTCTCTCCTCTCTTCCCTGATCTCCCTCCCCATTTCCAAAACACTTGTCTTCTTATTTATATTTTAGGTTTCTCATATAAGACAAACTGCAATATTTAACCATCTGTGATTTATTTCACTTAAGGTTATAATCTCATTTGAGTATGGTTACACACACCTGTAATCCCCGAATTTGGGAGGCTGAGGCAGGATGGTTGCTTTTAGTTTGAGGCCAGTGTGGGCTACATAGTGAGTTCAAGACTAGCCTGAACTACATGGTGAGACCCTGTCTCAAAATACAGAACAATAAAATGATTATAGTCTCAACGTCCATTCATTTTCCTACAAGTGACTCAAATTTATCCTTCTTTGTGGCTGAGTAATACTCCATTGTGTATATATACCACATTTTCTTTATCCATTCATCTGTTGTTTGGCACAATACTCCATTGTGTATATATACCACATTTTCTTTATCCATTCATTGTTGTTAGGCTGTTTCCATAATTTAAAATATTGTGTATTGACCTGTTCTAAATATTGGTATGCATATATCACTAATATGATGCATTCAGCTTTTTCAGGAAGATATCCAGGAAGAATATAGGTGGGTATCTTGGTTACTTTTTTCTAGTTGCTGGGACTTTTGGTGGGAAAGTAAACTAGTACAACCACTATAGATGTCAGTATAAAGATTCCTCAAAAAACTAAATACCTGATGCCTATAATTAAGGAAGGAAAGGTTTATTTACCTCACAGTTTGTGGAAGTTTCAGTCCATACTTGGCTGGCTCCAAGGCAGGGTTGCATATGGCAGAGGGAAACAGTTCATGGCAGCAGAAAACAGCAAGAGCAAAAAGGGATGAGTAACAAGGAAGCCTCTTTCCCTCCTTATGTTGTGTGCAAACCACCCACCCCAAGGCAAGTATAGCATTCACACCCATAATCCCAGTATTGGACCATGGACCAGTCATCATCGCATGAGGCTTTGCGGGGACTTCTAGGCACAAAGCATGACAGTGGGTCAAATGGAATTTCTAGTTTTAGTTTTTTGAGGAATCTTTATACTGACATCTGCAGTGGTTGTACTAGTTCACTTTCCCACCAAAAGTGTGGAATCTCCTCCAGCTGTGTGTGTGTATGTATGTGTGTGTCCTTGATAATAGCCATTCTTTCTGGAGTAAGATGAGTCTCAGAGTTATTTTGATTTGCATTTCTTTAATGACCAAAGATGTTGAACAGTTTGGCCCTTAGTGTCAAACTGGGCCCCCTTAGTATAAAACTGTTTTGAGAAGTGTTTATTAATTTTATTTGCCCATTTTTTTTAATCGAGTCATTTGTTTTCTGGAATCTGATTTTTCTAATGCTTTTTTTGATTTTTGTAATGTTTTTGCTCTTTTCACTTAGAATTGCTTTGGCTGTTGCAAATCTCTTCTGATTCCCTGTAAATTTTAAGAATTTTTTTTTAAAGCATTATGAAGAATGCTGTTGGCATTCTGATTGGAATTGGATTAAATCTATATATCATTTTTGATATTATGGTCATTTTGACAATATTGATCCTGCCTATTCAGGATGGGATGTCTTTTCATTTTGTAATGTCCTCTTGAATCTCTCATCAGAGTAGTATAATTTTTGTTATAGAAGTCTTTCTTCTATAGCTTCCTTGGTTAGGTTGATTTCTAGATTTTTGTTTTTTTGAAACTACTGTGAGTAGAATCATTTGAATCATTTTCCTGATTTCTTTCTTGGTGGATTCATTATTGATGTACAGGAACACTTCATTTTGGTGTTGATTTTTGTGTCCTGTCACTTTGCTGAGTTTATTAACTCTAAGAGTCTTTTTGTGGAGGTTTTTTTTTTGGTTTTCTATGTAAAGGTTCATATCATCTGCAAATAAAGACAACTTGACTTCTTCCTTTCTTACATCCCCTTTCTTTCTTTTTCTTGCTGAATTGCTCCAGCTAAAGTTTTGAATACTGTATTGAACAGGAGTAGAGAAAAAGGACATCCTTGCCTTGCTTCTGATTTTACAAGGAAAGTTTGTAGTTTTCTCCCATTTAGCATGATGTTGGTTGTGGGTTTGCATAAATGGCTTTTATCAGTTTGAGGTAAGTTGCTTCATTTTTGTCAAATTTTTTTGTCATGAAGGGAGGTTGTATTTTCTGATCTATGATAATCCTGTGAATGTTTTTTTATCCTTAATTCTGTTTATGGGGTATATTACATTTATGTTGTACCATCTTGCATCCCTGGGATGAAGCTGATTTGCACTCTGTTTGACATTATCTTTTTGATGATTTTTTTTCTATGTTCATCAAGAATATTGGCTTGTACTTTTTTTATTGTCGTTGTTGAGTCCCTATCCAGTTTTGGAATCAGGGTAATGCTACCTTCAAAGAATGAGTTTGGCAGTGCACCCTCCCTTTCAGTTTCACATGAGTTTTAGGAGTGTTGGGGTTAGTTTTCTGAAGTTCCAGTAAAATTTAGTGGTGAACCTATCAGATTCTGGGCTTTTCTTAGTTAGAGGTTTTATTACTATGCGCCCATGAATATTATGACTAGTTTTTCTCATGTTCTACCTGGTATGACCTTATTTTCTTGGAATAAATGCTATGGTTAGTAATTTTGTTTTCCTTCATTTTAGTTGTGTATAAAATTAAGCAGTTAGCAGTGTAGCAGAGTGGTTCAGAGTATGAGCTCTACAGCTGGATTTCCTAGGTTGAAATCTCAGACAGTGACATTCATTGGACAAGTTGCCTGCCATATTGGTGCTTGTTACTCATGCATAAATTGGGCATAGTTCCAACAGAGTAGTAGTGTGTGGATTGAATGAATAAGTATGTGTAAAGTGCTTGGGCCAAGGCCTGGTGCACAATGAACTTACCATTGAGAAGCATGATTTTATTTTATTTTTATTTTTTGGCAGTTGCCTGCTCTACTTCTTTCTTGTTATTGTGGGAAGCATTTACAACAGTTCTTAGAGCCTAGAAAGATGTCAAAATATGTTCACTGTGATTGTAATTGTTTTGTTGTTCAGTAGCTGCTTTACTATAGGGTAATTAAGGAATTTTCCTTATTTTTTCCCCTAGAGTGTTACAGTGACTTTTTAAATGAAGACTTTGATGTAAAGACTTATACTTCTCAATCTATTCATCAAGCTGTAATTGCTGAACAACTAGCAAAACTGGCCCAAGGAATCAGTCAGTTGGATAAAGAACTACACTTACAGGTAATTCTAATCTTCTGGATTATGCAGATTATTCAGGCTACAGAGATAATTCAGCCTTTTTATAACCTTATTGTTAAATCTGTTTGTGTATTTACATGAATAAAGGCATGACTTTCCAATGTGACTTATTTTCCAAACTATATTTTTGCAGTTTTCTGTAAACCACTTTTTATTAGTTAAAAATACTTATTTCTCCAAAATATTTTATTCATTCTTCCTGTTCACTGAAATTGGTATACAGTGAATATAGAGAGCAAAAAAAGGGAGGTCTTTGATAAAGGTAATAGAAAATGGAATTATGGAACTAGAACAGTGTGAATAAGAAAATTGAGATGTTACATTGATAGCTTATACTTTGTTTTTTTGTTTGTTTGTTTATTTGTTTGTTTTTTTCCGGTGCTGGGAGTCAAACTCACTACCTCGCACTTGCCAGGCAAGCGCTGTGCCACTGAGCTAACTCCCGAGTCCCAGGTAGTTTATACTTGGTTAGTACAAAGTATAGCATTTGCTGAAATAATAGAAAGTTGATAAATAGGGTGGGTTGAACACAATAATCTTAGTCATATATTAATTGACTTTAATATCACTTAATGTCTTTGGTCTAGTTTTTTGTATTTATTTATATGAGCTGGAATGACTAAGAGGAGACTGCAGTACAGAATCTTAACGCTTCCTTCCTTCTACATTTCTGTAATTTTTATTACTGGTTGGTTTTATGATATACTTTGTAGTACTGCATTTTATCTGAGTAGTAAATAGTTAGATGAATAACAAATGCACGACTAAATGATTACTTACCAGGACACCTAGATCTGGTATATCATGAGACATAGCCACTTAACATTTTTGTGCCATAGTTTTTTTAATCAATTAAAACAGCAGCTTTACAAGATTGGGATAATTTCTAAGGTCATGTTAACTTAAAAATTCTGAATAAACATGAGAGTTCATTATTTATTGACACATATTTATAAGGCATTTTTAATTGTCAGGCTTTGAGTTAGGTTATATAGATATGAAATAGAACATATTTATGGATTCAGATCAGTGGCAGATAAAGACAAAAATAATAGCAAATGATGCCTGTTTTAAATATGGAAATGCAAGGTGTTTGTGGGAGCAGGAGAGAATTCTGCTTGGAATTCTTAAAATTCTGTTTTTTCATACTTTCTGTTTTCCTTATTCTTTGCATATAGTCCCTTCTCTGCAGGTATCAATAAGAAGGTAAAATTTATTTACTATCTCCTAGGTGGGACAGGTTATACTTACACTAGTTTAGAATGTGAGGTAGAGAAAGTCTCTGACTTGTAGTGTGAGATGTGAACTTCCTAATAATTTTCTATGGAAGCAAAATGAGGGCAGTGCTACCTAATAAAATACAATAAAAGTAATTAAAATATCAGCAAAATTAAAAGTACAAAAGATTTACTATTAGTGAGAGCTTAGTACAGGACATAGAAACCATTTTAGGTATTTAAAACAAAGTTATTTATTTATTTATTAAAAAAACAAAGTTATTTAGTACAGAGAGGTGGGTGCTTGCAAGTTTGTTGTGTCGTCAGAAGGTTGAGTTGAAGTACCATTGATGATGGTACTGCGTGCTTGCATGGTCATCTCTGGGCCATTGGTGCCCTATTTCTAGATAGCTGAAGAGCAGATACTGGAATGATGAATGTCACCCTTTTAACTCTGTAAATCCTCATGTCTTCAAATCTTGCTTACTAGCTGGAACAAAAACAGGAAGACAGCCTTCATCTTTCTTCTGTTTCTTATATCTCTTAGAAATTTATCTGATTGGCTGCAAGAGAGTCTATGAGAGGGTACTTTTAATCTGTTCAACCTTTCCAGGGCTTTTAACTATTAACCTTTTTTATTCTCTTAAAACCATTTACATTGCCCTAATTTTGATGAAAATATCAGTCTTCTACAGGGAGAGGATTTGCTGTGACACTAGGAACTGAAATCAGGGAGAGGTTTAGATATAGATGGTTACTGAGTGCTTTGTCTTTCCAGATTAGGATGTGGCCTTGCTGATGATGAATTAAGTTTAAGAGCCAAGAGAATTTAAACATTTTTTTAAAGGAAAAACACAATAACAGCATCAGCTGGTATTGCCAGTTTTCCATTTCTGGCACACTTTTACATACATATCTCATTAGAAAAGCAGGGGCTTGCTATGGTCTGAAGTTTGTTCCCCTAAAATGCATATCCTGAAACTTAATCCTCAATGTGATAGTATTAAGAGGTGGAGCTGGGTGTGGTGACACAGGCCTGTAGTCTAGCATTCTGAAAGGCTGAGGCAGGAGGACTGTAAATTCAGCCCAAGCCCAGGCAATTTAGTGACTTAGAGAGATCCTGTCTCAAAAATAACCAAAAGGCTGGAGAATGTACCTCAGGGCAAAGACTCTGAATTCAATCCCCTGTAGTGGTGTAAAAACAGCTGGAGCTTTTGACATGTGATTAGTGCCCTTGTTAGAGAGGCCCAAGAGAGTTTTCATCTTCCCACTGTGTGAGAACACATGAAGGCACCATTTATGGTGAAAATGGGTGCTCACCAGACACTGAATTTGCTGGCACTTTGATGCTGTACTTCTCTCCTTCCAGACCTATGGGTAATAAATCTCTGTTTATAAATTACCGAGTTCATAGGATTTTGTTTTAGTAGCTCAAATGGGGTAAGGTAGGGCTGTGTGTTGAACTATAAATGTGTGTGTGTTCCTGTTAATTACTCATCTCAAGCCTACCTTTTGTTTTCCTTTTGTATTATTACATGTCCTGTCTATACACCAAACGAGACCTTTAATTCTTCTCAATGGGTACAGAAAAAAATGTTTAATAGTGAATCAGAGTAATTGCTGATTATTCATTCTTTATTTTCAGGTTGTTGCAAGACATGAAGATTTACTGGCACAAGCCACTGGGATTGAGTCTTTGGAAGGTATACTTCTACCAACAATTACTGATTAAATAGAGCTATATCAGAGATTGGCAAACTTTTTCTGTTGGGCATGAGATAGTACATATTTTTAGATTTTGCAGGTGTGTTGGTTACTGAGACAAAATATTTGATATCAAAAATTAAGGAATCCTAATTTAGCTCACAGTGTGTGAAGGTTTCAGTCCTTGATCAGCTGGCTCCAAGGCAGGGTGGCATGGCACTGGGGCAACAGCTCAAGGTGGCAGAAGACAGCAAAAGGGACATGAGCTAGAGGGGAGCAAGTGTCTTTTCCTCCTTTGTATTGTAGGCAAGCTCCCCCTTCCCCAAGGGCGGGTGTAGCACTCACACCACCTGGGTGTCCTCCTTTTGCACAGGATGAGGATGTTTACAGAGTGAGGACCCTGGCCCCCTGAGTAGCTTAGTTAAACTTCTAAACTTCTCAAGTTGACATAGTGTGTCAACCATTTCAGCAGGCCGGTCCAGTCTGTGTTGTAATTGCTGAACTCTACCCATAGTGGGCTGAAAGCAGCCAGCCAGATAACATGTACATGAGTATGTGGGGCTGTGTTCCAATAAAACTTCAGTAAAACTTTGCTGACTCCTGGGCTAAACTATCTGGATTTAAATTCTTACTACATACTAGGTATGTAGCTTAGGGGGAGTTATTTAACCATTTCTATATATAAAACAGTATTAATGTGTATCAAGATGGCAGTACTTTGAGGATTAAATTAGTTAGCAAAATGCTTATAATAATGTCTGCACATAGTGCCTTTATAAGTGTTAGTTAATTAAAATAACAAGAATGTCAGTACCATGTAGTTGTGGATATAGGCTTAAGTTCTTTATTTTTTCTTTCATGGAGTCTTTCTTTGAAACTCTCTTCAATGAAAGTATAGTAAATAATAATACATTGAATTTTTATTTGTTAATTCCTCTTATTATTGTTTGACAAAATCTTTTATAAATTTTTCATTCTCTTGATTAAACCACATCTCATAAATATGAAATGTTACTGTTGTACTTTACATTTATTATTTGTATTATTACTATTATTAATCATTGCACATCATGAGGAAAGCTAATTGATTTTTCCTTGTGTTGATCAGATTGGTAGTTAAAGAGGGTGGATATTGTTTGTTATGCAATATTCTTTAATGACTCTCTTGGTATTTCTCATCCACTCAAAGGTATTAATTTATTCTCAGCAAGTACAGTGTTGCCAAGACATACTGATGAAGAACTTAACATTTTGGAAAATGTCAGTTTGACTGTTACTTGAAAATCTGGGATAGGTATCTGACTGTGTTCTTGGGTAAATTAAGATGCTCAAAGTACTGACTAATATTGGAAATTTTAGTTCTATTATGTGCTTGTTTTTCTCAGATTGCTTTTCAAGGCCAACAATATTTAAGTCATGCAGTTAGAACTGGGAGTGTTCTCAGTGGTAGAGTATTTGCCTAGCATGTGTGAGACCTTGGGTTTGATCCTAGTACCCCTAAACAAACTATAAATATATGTAGTCTTAGTTAGAAAGACTATCCATTATATGAATGTGTAGAATTGTGAAAGCTGGCTTCTTTGAATTCCTATGATAAGCTAAGCATGTTCTCCAGATTATTTGAATGTAGAAAACCTAGGTTTAAGTTAATATTCATTTGAGCAAAGTGTGTATTTCTTTTTTTTTTTTTTTTTGGTTTTTCTCCGGTACCGGGAACCGAACTCACGACCTTGCGCTTGCCAGGCAGGCGCTTTGCCGCTGAGCTAGATCCCCAGCCCCCAAAGTGTGTATTTCTAAGCACTTATTAGAATGTTATTTTGAGTTGTTGGAAAGTGTGCTACATATTAGAAAATTTGAATCTGAATCCTAACTTCTACTCCATTTGTTTTCCCCCCATACATATAAAAATTTGCCAAATAATATTTTAGAGGTACATTTACTAAATCTATTTTATTAAGAATAAAATTTGTTTATTTAGTAACCATTCGTTTATCTGGTAATCAAATAGAAATGAGAACTTGTTAGGTATAAAACATGCATGAATAATAGACATGTTCGTTACCTTTTTGGAACATATGTTCCAGGGGTGTGTGTGTGTGGGGGGTAGATTAAAAACAATTTTCAAGTAGAAAACTATGTATTTTTAAAGTCCTACAAAGAAAGTAAAACAGATGGTAGAGTGGGGGAAGAGGAGTCTGCTACATCTAGGATGGCCAGAGGAGGTAAAAAGATGACATGGGGGCTAAGCTCCGAATAAGGAGCCATCATGTGAAGATGTGGGAAGAAGAATGCTGTAAGCTTGGGGAACATTAAATAGGAAGGCAGGAATTATCTTCCATGTTTGAAGAGTAGAAGGAAGGCCAATAAGACTTAAGTGAATGAGTTTAGTGAATAAAGGAGAAACTCTTGGAAAGGACTTTCAATTTTATTCTAAAAGCAGGAGTAAGCCATTTGGGGCTTTAAATTGGATTATTGTTGTGTGATGAGATTAATAGTATTTTAAGTCATTTGGTGTGGTGGCTGGGTAGAAAGGCAAGGGTGAGACTCGGGATACCAGTTAGGAAGCCATTAGAATAGTCGATAGATTAGAGTGGTGAGTGTAAAGAGAGAAGTCAGTTGGGTAAAATGGAAGCACAGAAGATAGAATTTGTTGATAGGAGCTGACGGGGCTCAGGGAAAATGTGGTAGTCACTACTAGGAACCCCTAAGATTTTGATCTGAACAGTTGGATAGATGATGGTATGAGTAACTGTCTTTATTACTTTACTCATCGCTGAGATGGAATACCTGACACCCACAAGTTAAAAGAGGAAGGGTTATTTCAGCTCACAGTTTGTAGAGGTTTTGCAGTTCATAGTCAGCTGGCTCCAAGGAAGGGTAGCATGGCAAAGGGGCACTGCAGAGGAGAAACAGTTCATGGCAAGGCAGGCAGAAGGCAGCAAGCAGCATCGAGCCTGCCAGTCCTTTTACCCCGTTCAGGCTACAAAAGCCTTTTGGTGGTGCCACCCATACCCAGGGTAGGGCTTCTATTTTCAGTAAATCCATTCAGTCACACCCAGAACTATGCTAATTCTAATCAGTGGACTGATTTAGTACCACACACCCTTAATCCCAGTATCACATGCCCTAAATCCAGCGAGTTCCAAAAAACCACATCTATGAGCATGTGAGATTTTGGGGGGACATCTTGATATAAGCCATAACAGTAGCTGAAATAAGATCAACTGGGGAGGACTATGATTTTTACTGGGGTTAGGATAGGTCAGAAGTTATGCATTTTAAAGCCAACGGGGTGATGCATGCCTTATTCTCAGTATTTGGAAGGCTGAGGAAGGATGATTGCTGTGAGTTCAAGGCTAACCTGGGCTACATAATTAGTTCAAGGCCAGCCTATCTCAAGTTAATATTCATTTATGCAGTGAGACACTATCTCAAAAAAGCAAAATATTCATGCAGTGAGACCCTATCTCAAAAAAGCAAAAAACAACAGCAACAAAAAGTTAGGCATTTTAAATTTGACATAGGAGATTTAGGTCTGGAGATTGTGTGTGTGTTTGTGAGGGGGCTGTATATAGGGGTAGATATAAAGAAAATCTCTTCATGTAGGTAAATGTACATATGTGTATATGTGGGGGTGTGTGTATATATGTATATGTATATAAAATTAGTCTACATGAAATACTTAGACGTTAGGACTAAAGGAAATTGTCAAAAGGTTGTAGGTGGAGAAGAGAAGATCAAGTTTTCTTGATCAAATTGGAGATAATCCAACTCAGAAATATAATAGAGGCAACTAATGAGACAGAAGGAAATCAGGGAGTACGATGATTTAGAAACCTACAGGAAGAGTGAGTCAGGGAGAGAGTGGTCAAACATGAATTTCTGATAGTATAAAGACAGAACTGACAGTTGGATTGACCACTTGGAGATTTCCTATGACCTTGAGAAGATCTGTTTTAGTGGAGTATTTGTGGAAACCCTTTAACAGTGGGCTGCAGTGATGATAGGATGTAAGAAAATGGTGACAACAAGGACAGGAAGGGTAGTTTCAGTCTGGGAGGTTTGTGGTAAATGAACCATAAAAGCATCTGAAAAAAACAAATCTTCTGGTCTCTGGAGGATTCCATTGAACTGAGTATATTAACACCTACTTGTAGGCTGATAGGAATGTTTAATAGTTCTGATGTTACTTCATTCAGTAAGTGACAGCATGTGTTTACTTACATTTATTTGGATTATTATGCTTTCAAAATGACAACTATGCCCATTGTGTGTATGTGTATATACATGTATATGTATATATATATATGTATATGAGTATATATGTACGTATATATATATATACACACACACACACACTAAGTTCTGAAGAGTAAAAATGAGAATAAAATCTGCAGCAATGGCAAGCCTAAATAATAAAATTTAAAATCTACTTTCCTGTGGCTTTCCAGCTACAGCCAGTGTAGCTCAGTGGTAGAGTGCTTGCCCACCGTGAACAAGGCCCTGAGTTCAATCCCCAGTACCAATCAAAAAGACAAAAACAAACAAGACAAAACAAAAAGAACCCAAACACTACTGTCCTGAAAATATTTTTGTAAGAATTTCTGCCTCATGTTGTAACTGTCATGTAAAGGCAGTGCTTGCAGTTTGTGGCTGTTATTTATATATCACAGAATTCATCCAAAAATATTTTGATTACTTACCTGGGAATGATTCTGAGTTAGGCTTTGTTTATACAGTAGTGAATAAAAGAAACTTCCCTTAATCTCAAGAACTTATAGTCTAGTGGGAAAGTAAAATATTACATAGATATACAAGTGAATACATAATTACATATTTGGTGGTATGAAGTAAAAATACAGTATAGTGTAGAAGAGAATAGTAAGAGATTCTGAGTTGGGGGATCTTGTCTTTATCCAATAGGAGCATGAGGGCTGGACAGAGTATATATAGGCTGAGTTAACCATGTCCAGATCATGCAAGGCTTTATCAACTAAGCGGCGGACTATTATAGTTGTAATACAGTGAATGGTATGATACAATTTGGACTGCTGAAAATACTCAAGACGCCTTTTTTCTAATTGTGATATAATACAACATAAAATTTACCATTTTAACTATTTAAAAAATATAATTCAGTAGTATTAAGTACATTTACAGTATTGTTAACCATTACCACTATCTCATTCCAGTTCTAGCTTTTCACCACTCCAAATTGAAACACTGTGTCCATAAAATTACCACATTCTTCTCCCTTTCAGCCTTCTCTTGTGGGGCAAGGGTTGCAGGAGGAGGAGGAGGCTAGTTACAGGCTTTTCCTACCAGTACAAATAAAAGATATTGGTTGTTTGGTTTAGAATGGTGGCAGAGAGCAGCCAGGATGGCCGAGCAGTCTGAGGGACTGGGTTTAGAATTGTGGCAGAAAAATTAAAATTATATTTGTATATTGTGACAATCTTGATTGTCAACTTACTGGCTTAAAAGATTAGTAAAGCCAACTTCTGGGTATGTTTGGGTGGGTCATGAAGGAATGACCTCAAACTTGATCTCTTTCTCTGGACCCTGGCCTGGTTCTTTCTTGTACTCTTTCCCTGTACTCTGCTTCCCAGCTACCATAGAGTGAGCACCTTTGTTCTACTCTGCTGTTCTGCCATGATGGTTTTTCCTTGGAGCCAGCCAACCATGGACTGAAACTGAGCCAAAGTGAACCTCTGCTCCTTTAAGTTGAGGGTAGTGGGTATTTTGTCCCAGTGATTTTTGCCACCATTCTAAACCACATGTATGTTTTCTTCTTAAAAGATACATCCTTCTAATATGAATTTTTTTACCCAGTGTGAGTCTTTGTAACTTTGTAAAACTAACTTAAGCTGTTATATTTTCCTAGGTGTTCTTCAGATGATGCAGACGAGAATTGGGGCTTTACAGGGAGCTGTTGATAGGTACTGTTGCTTATTAATGTATGAAATGGAGATATTTCTATCCGTTGATATTTTGAAAATCATTTTATTTTTCTCTTTTTTTTCTCTTTTAGGATGAAAGCAAAAATTGTTGAGCCATATAATAAAATAGTAGCCCGTACTGCACAACTAGCAAGACTTCAGGTAGGTTCTCACTTTTATTTCTTTATACTTTATTATTGCTGTTTTTGTAAGTGGGCAGATGTTAAGAGTATGAGTCCAGAAGAAACAAGGGAATGGGAAGAGAACATTAAAAGAAGGTGGCAAAGTAATAAAAAGCCTTAAAATAAGGTATCCAATTAAAAAACTGTATCCAAACTACGTGAACTATTTCAACTCTCATTACTGCTGTGTATAGTTACTTACTATCTTGTGTCTTAATTTCTTTCACTAGTGTTTTGTAGTTTTCAGTGTACATATCTTTTGATTACTTGGTTAAATTTATTGCTAATTCTTTTATTTTTTTTTCCTAACTATTCCAAACAGGATTATTTCCTTTATTTTTCATTATTACAAAAAATGCCACTGGTTTCTGTATGTTAACTTTTGTATTTTGCAGCTTTATTGAATTTGTTTTAGTTCTGTTTTTTGGTGGAATGTTTAGGGTTTTCTATATAGCACATAATGTTGTTTGTAAATAAAGACAATTTTACTTTTTCCTTTTCAATCTGGATGCCTTTCTCTTGCCTAATATCTTTGGCTGGTAGGACTTTGCGTAGTATGTTGGGTAGAAGTGGTGAGAGTGGGCATCCTTGTCTTGTTCCTAATCTTAGAGAAAAAGCTTTCAGTTCTTCACAATTGAGTATGTTAGTTGTGGGATTGTTGTTTATGGCCTTTATTATGTTGAGGTATATTCCTTCTACAGCTAATTTGTTGACAGTTTTTATCATGAGAAGATACTGAATTTTGCCTAAGGCCCTTTTCTGTTTCTATTGAAATGACAGAGGAAAGGGTTTTGTCCTTCATTCTGTTCATGTGGTATATCTTTTTGATTTGTGTATGTCAGACCATCTGTGCATCCCAGGGATGAATTGCACCTCATGATAGTAAGGATGTGTTTGCTTCTTTGAACCATGGATGGAACAGAGGTCAGACAATTGACCTTTGCTAGCTAGTTCTACTTAGAATGACCCATTGCCGTAGAAGCACTAACGCTCAGCATTTTACCAGCTGATGAATAAACATCTGATTTCCTGTCTCTCTCTCTCTCTCTCTCTCTCTCTCTCTCTCTCACTCACACACACACACACACACACACACACACACACATTTAGGGCCATTTTAATACTGATCTGAATACTTCTGTACATATATGTTGGCTCATGTAAATACCCCTTTTATAAGGTTTATTCTAGAATTTGGACTTGTGAGTTACAGGATTTCTCCAACTTTATTTAGATAATGGCTAATTACTTTGTCAAATGGTTAAGCTACAAATGCCAATAGTATATTAGAGTTCCCTTTTGTTGGTATTCATGTCAGCAGTGCTGTTAGACTTACTAATTTGTGCCAGTATGTTTTTGTTCTTTTGGGAATGAACTAACCAAGGAGACTGAATATTTAGTATTAGGTCCTCTATAGCAAGGTTTCAAATATCCCTTTGGCTCTGTTTTATTTTTTTTTGTTTAAATTTTATTTTAATCTCTCACTTTAGTCTCTAGATGTTAAATTCACCCAGATTTTCTTTGTTATTGTTTATGTGTCTTAAGAGAACTTTCCCTACCTTGAAGTTAGGAAGGTATTTTATATTATCATCTAAAAACTGTATTGTTTCATATGTTTAGATCTGTAATCTACCTGAAAATGGTTGTAAATGAATTGATCTTTTTTTAAAATACCTACTTTGTGTGTTTTCTAATTTTACATAGCACAGCAGTTTTCTGGTATTTTTTTGTAGTATTTTCTCTATTTTTTTTTTTTTTTTCTGGTACCGGGAATCGAACTCATGACCTTGCACTTGCCAGGCGGGCGCTGTGCCGCTGAGCTAAATCCCCAGCCCCAGTTTCTCTATTTTTATTTGTGTTTTTAAACACCTTTTTCAGTTATAAAATTAGTATTTTCACTTACGTTTTTGGACATGTAGAGTGTATTTATATAGATACGTCAGCATTTTAGTCTTTAATGTTTTTGGGTTTGTTTTTGTTGAGCTTTCTTTTTGTTATGGGCTTTACTTTTGATTCTTTGCCTACTTGGTAATTTTTGGTTGGATATTGGAAATGTGTATTTATGTTTAAGGGTCTTAGATTGTTTAAAGTAGTGTTGAACGTTATTTTTATTTTTTGAAGTAATGAGGGTTGAATCCTGGGCCTTTGCACTGACCTACATCCACAGTCTTCACAATTTTTTATTTCGAGGCAAAGTCTGTAAATTACCAAGGCTGGGCTTGAACTTGTGATCTTCTTGCCTCAGCCTCCCAGAGTGCTGTGATTATAGGTTTGTGCTGCCACATAGGCTCAGAGCTTCATTCTGTTTATTCACATATAAATTACTGGGAACCAGTTTAATTTTTTTTTTTCCGGTACCTGGAATCGAACTCATGACCCGCGCTTGCCAGGCAGGTGCTGTGCCGCTGAGCTAAATCCCCAGCCCCCGAGTTTAATTTTTTGAAGGTGTGCTTTTAAATCTTTATAAGTGCAGGTCTAGCATAGCCTTTAGTGTCAGGCTGTTTGAGCCTGTTAGGTCTTTCTCCTGTAACTGGTGGGTACGTAACTGAGGTTTGTGAATTTTTCCATGTGTCTTATGTTTTTTCTCACACATGCACAGGTTAGTATTCAGTCAAGAATTTGAAGTCCTACTTTATATCTCTGTAACCTTCCTTCTTTCTACAGTGTTTTACTCAGCAGTTTGCAGACAGATTCCAGCTTTTTGAGATTTCCTGAAGTCAGATACCTGTTTCCCCATGAAACTGTCGGGCTCTTTTGGCTTCTTCTTCCCTTTGCTACAGACATTAAATTGTCTTCCAGTATAACCTGAGACAATTGTTTAGTTAGCCAATCAGGGAGCCAAACAAAGTTGCAGCTCCATCTCTGCAAGTTCTATAGGAGCATATGGGACTTGTGGTCGTAAAAATTGAGATGAACATATTTGTAAACAAGAATCCACCATTCACAGAAAGAAACCTCATAGCAGGTACCTCTTTTTTTTGCCTCTTCAATGACTATTGCCTTAGTTATCTTCTTATAGCTGGAACATAGTAACTGTACCTACACCTTAAAGAAGAACAAAGTTTATATGGTTACAGTCCATGACCACCTGGCTGTCAGGCAAAAATGGCCTGGGAGAAGGGTCTTGGCAGAGGAAAGCTGTTCACAGCATGTTGGTCAGGAAGCAGAAGGAGCAGGGAGGGCCTAAGTGAGGAGATGCACCTTTCCAGGTCACACCCCCAGGGACCTACTTCCTGCTACTAGGCTGCACCTCCAACAGCACATTTAGCTGCTGAACTCAGTAGTGGATGAGATGATTCCAATGATGAGTATAGCTCATCACCTTCCAGACACATGAGGCTTGTGGGGAGCACCCCACATGGACATTATACCTGCTGTCAAACACCTGGAAAGGGCAGGCTCCCACCCAGCTCTGTGAGCTCTGAAGACAGTGGTGCAGACAAGGAGCAGATCCTGGAGCTGTTGATGCTGGAGTAGTTCTGACCATGCTGTGCAAGGAGCTCCAGGCTTGGGTGCAGGCGCAGGAGAAGTTACAGCGTTCAGGAAGTGCCCCGAAGACATGGAACCCATGGAAACAGCACAGGAATTTTCACATTTCAAGTTAAAAATGGGTTGGCCACACAGTTAAAGAAGCTCCATAGTCGCAAGGTACCTCTTGGAAGAATGGTAACAAGGAGCTGATCATGAAGCAAATCATTTCGCAAGAAATAAAGGCAGAACTGAAATATTTGAAAGATTCAGTAGGGTTGCCTTTCAGAGACCTGGTGGTAGAGAAGCAGAAAACACAAGGAGGGAAGTTTTGAAAACTTGAATAATTCCAGAGGCAAAACCAGTTCAAATGTGATGAGTGTAGAGGAGTTCCACACAAGCCGTACCCTTACAATCTTTCAGCACAGTTGCACTGAAGAGAAGCCACATGTGTGTACCAGGTGTGGAAAAGCACTTTGTGTGAGCTCCAGCCTAAATGGACACTGGAGAATCCGCTCGGGGACTACATTACAAATGCGACTGTGGAAAGCCTTTCACTGATGCTCACGCCTTACTCTGTGTCAGAAAACCCATACCAAAGGAAGGTTCTGCAAGTGTGAAAAATGTGGTAAAGTTGTTTTTTAGTCAGTTCCAGTTTAATTTACAGTCAGAGAATCTATTCAGGAGACAGCCCTTTTCTCTTCCTTTTGCTCTTGCCCCTACTCTCATGTGAAACTAAAGTGCTTGAGGACTGTGATAATATACTATTACTGTATTTGACTCTCCTGTTTTCATATAATGTATGTACCTGGCATTTATGCTTGTTAAATGTTTAATTAATGAATGAAATAATTTGTTCCTTGTGCCAAGTAATACTTGGTGAGGTTAGCAATTTTGGGGGGCTGGGGATTTAGCTCAGCAGCACAGCGCCTGCCTGGCAAGCACAAGGTCGTGAGTTCGATTCTCTGTATCAGAAAAAACAACAACAACAACAACAACAAAAAATAAACAAAGTTCTTTACCCAAGAATATGTAACTACTGCAGCAATAAGAAAGCATACATAAGGAATCTAGGGGCTGGGGATTTAGCTCAGCAGCACAGCGCCTGCCTGGCAAGTGCAAGGTTGTGAGTTTGATACCTAGTACCAGGAAAAAAAAATTTTTTTTCTAACCACATAGCATGTGAGACTGAGCAAAACATACACGGCATTACATTTTAATGTACTTGTATATGTGTCTCTAACAGTCTTAGAAATACAGCATGTAAGATGAGTTTGAATGTCAGTTTTCTCTAGAGAGTGGAGATGAGATCCTTTTGAATTGGTTCAAGGACAGTTAAAAGTATGTTTTCAGGGCAGTGAGGATGTACTGGTACCTGTTGTCAAACAGCTAAATAGGGATCTTGGAGTCGTGGAACATTGTGCAACCTGTAACAGAAACTTAACAACCCCCTTTTCCTGTCCCTCAGTCCCTGAATCTTTCTGTCTGCTACTATGTGCCTTTTCTTACTGC